GGGAGACGAACCATGAGAGACGATGGACTCTGAGAAACAAACTGAGGGTTCTAGAGGGGAAGGGGTGGGAGGATGGGTTAGCCTGGTGATGGGTATTAGTGAGGGCACGTACTGAATGGAGCACTGGGTATTATACGCAAACAATGAATCATGGAACACTACATCAAAAACTAATGATGTATGGTGATTAACATAGCATAATAAAAAAAAAGATAAGGGCTAAAAGATTTGAAAGTGATTTGACAGTTTTAGGTGATTGATTTCTCTTATCACAGTATTTTAAGAGGACTGGTATTAATGCAGTTCAGATTATGGTGGCTTAAGGACTAAACAGAAAATGAAGAATTTCTTTATTGAAATGTACTTGACATATAATGTTTCAGATGTATGATGTTGATTTGATATTTTTATATATTAAAAGAGATCACTACAAAAGGTCTAGCTACCATCTGTCACCAGAGTTATTACAGTATCATTGATGATGCTGTACATTATATCCCCATGACTTTATTTAGCATAATACCCTCTAGGTCCAACCATGATGTTGCAAATGGCACAATATCCTTCTTTTTCATGGCTCAGTAATATTCCATTTTATGTGTATAGCACATTTTCTTTATCAATTCATCTATCAGTGAACACTTAGGTTCATCTATCGATGAACACTTATATACCTTGGCTATTGTAAATAATGTTGTGAATAACAAAGAGGTACATAGATCTTTTAGAATTAGCGTTTTTATTTCCTTCAGATAAATACAGAAGCAGAATTGTTGCATCCCAAAGATTTTGGAAATTTGTGCTACTGTTTTCATTTTTTCTTAAGATATTTTTTGCTGTCCTCTTTGGTTTCTTCATTGACTCCTTGGTTGTCTAATAACATGTTGTTCAGTCTCCATGTGTTTGTGCTTTATCCATATTTTTTCTTGTAATTGATTTCTAGTTTCATACCTTTGTGGTTGGAAAAGATACTTGATGTGATTTCAGTCTTCTTGAATTTATTGAGACTTGCTTTGTAGCCTAACATGCTATCTGTCCTGGAGAATGTTTCATGTGCACTTGAAAAGAAGTGCTGCTCCTGCTTCAGAATGGAATGTTTTGTATATATCTCTTTAGTCCATCTGATCCTTTAAGGTCAATGTTGCCTTGCTGATTCTCTGTCTGGGTTATCTTTTCACTGATGCAGGTAGAGTATTAAAGTCTTCTATTATTATACTACTATTTCTGTCTTTACTTCTGTTAGTATTTTTTGTATATTTAGGTGTTTTTATATTGGGTGTGTAAATGTTGATAAATGTTACATTCTCTTGTTGGATTGACTCTCATCATTATGTAATGCTCTCCTTTGTTTTAAAGTCTATTTTGTCTGACATAAGTATTGCTAACCCAGCTTTCTTTTCATTACCATTGCATGGAATATCCTTTTCTATCCTCTCACTTTGAGTCTGTGTGTGTGTCTTTAGATTTGAAATGAGTCTCTTGTAGGCAACTTATATATGGGTTTTGTTTTTTAAATCATTCAGCCATTCTATATCTTTTGACTGGGGAGTTTAGTTCATTTAAATTTAAAGTAACTATTTATAGGTATATACTTATTGCCATTTCATTTATTGTTTCCTGGCTGTTTTTGTAGTTCCTCTCCATTCCTTTTCTTCCTCTCTTTCTTATGCTTTGGTTGTTTTCTTTAGTGTTATATTTAGATTTACTTCTTTTTTTCTTTTGTGCATTTACTGTAAGTTTTTTCTTTGTGGTTATGATGAGGTTTACATATATCCTTTTATGTATGTAACAGTCTTTTTGAAGTTGATAGTAACTTAATTTTGAACACATTCCAACGCTTTATATTTTTACTTTCCCCAGCTTATGTTTCATATTTTTGATGATACATTTTACATCTTTTTATTTTATGTATCCCTGAACTTAATTATTATATTTTTACTTAATGTCTTTTACTCTTCCTACTTGGTATGTAAGTGGTATTTCCACTACTTTTATTATTTATTTACCTTTTCTAGCAAGATTTTTACTTTTGTGTGTTTTCTTATTAAATAGTACATTTTATTTTTAGTTTAGAGTAGTCTTTTAAACATTTCTTATAAGGCTGTTTAGTGATGAACTCCTTTAGCTTTTGCTTTTCTGGAAAATTCTTAATCTCTTTGAGTGATAACATCTGGGTAGAGAATTCTTGGTTGGCCATTTTTTTCCTTTTAGTGCTTTGAATATGTCATGCTACTCTTTTATGGCCTGTAAAGTTTCTGCCAAAATATCTGCTAATTGTCTTATGGGGTTTTCCCTCTATGCAATATGTTGCTTTTCTCTTGCTACTTCTAAGATTTTCTGTTTACCTTTTACCATTTTATTTTATTATTTTAAAAATATTTGAGAGAGAGAGTATGAGCAGGGAGAGGGAGAGCGAGTATTTCCAGTAGCCTCCCTGCCAAGAGCAGAGCCAGATGCAGGGCTTGATCTCTTGACCCTGAGATCATGACCTGAGCTGAAATCAAGCATCGAACGCCCAACTGACTGAGCCACACAGGTGTCCCTATCTTTTACCATTTTAATTAGAATGTGTCTTGGGGTTTGTCTTTGGGCTTATTTGGGCCTCTGATCTTCCTGGACCTGGATGTCTGTTTCCTTCCCCAGATTATGGATGTTTTTAGCCATTATTTCTTCAAATAATTTTTCTTGACTTTTCTCTCTCTTCTCCTTCTGGGACCTGGATAATGAGAATGTTATTCCTTTTGATGTTGTCCCAGAGGTCCCTTAAGGTATCCTCACTTATTTTAGTTCTTTTTTTTATTTTTATGCTTTGTCTTTGTGTTTTCTATTCCTTTGTTTTCCAACTCACTGATCATCCTTCTGTTTCATCCATTCTGCTATTGAACTCCTCAGTGTACTTATAAGTTCAGTTTTAATATCTATTTCGTGTTTTCTTATTTTTCTTTGTTGAAGTTATTGTTGTGCTCCTCCATTGCTTAGATAGGTGAGCATCTTTATGACCATTACTTTGAACACTATCTGATAGGTTGTGTCTCTCCATTTCTCTCCTTTTTCTGCAGACTTGCCTTGTTTTTTGGTTTGGAATATATTCCTCTGTCTACTCATTTTGCTTGTTTCTCTGTCTGTATATATTAGGTGAAATGGCTACCTCCCTCAGCCTTGAAGCAATAGTCTTGTGTAGGAGCTGTTTTGTGTGGCTCAGAAGCCTTATCTCCTGTGGCTACCAGAGCTAGGCATGCTGTGGGCATCCCTCCTGTGGGCTGTTCACCCACTGGCTTTCATAGGGCTGCAGCTGCTATGTGTGAAAGGTAGGGCTCCGGGTA